ATTATTGCATGTTCATTAGACAAACTAGATCCAAAGCTTTAGGGTTTGCATGTACACCACATGAATGATGTAGTGCTCAAAACCCATCAATTTCACCCTATGGATAGCTATTAGTTTCTGACTAAGTGTCATTGTGGAATTTATAGCCGGAGAGTCGCCGGAGCAGCAGCCAGATATTTTTCCGCTTAGTGTTTCAGCAGCCAGTTACGCGAGGTGAGTTTCCTCTTTTAGGAACGGGTCTACGGCCACAATGCCGGCTCGTTTAGGTATAGTAGTTCCAGATTTCGATCTGATGCCGGGGTGATCCCGAGAAGTAGTATGTATGCCTGATGTCTTTGTGATTCATGCATGTTATGTTATGTGCTTTGTGTTCCGGACTTCGGTCCGATGCCGGGCAAGCCCGATGCAGTAGCTATATGTTTATGTTACATGTTTGCGTATATGTTATGTTCAGCTGTTCCGGACTTCGGTCCGATGCAGTGGGCAAGACTCGAGTTATTCCGGACTTCGGTCCGATGCAGTGGGCAAGGCCCGAGTTATTCCAAACTTCGGTCCGATGCACTGGGCAAGGCCCAAGTTATTCCGGATTTCGGTCCGATGTAGTGGGCAAGGCCCAAGTTATTCCGGACTTCGGTCCGATGCAGTGGGCAAGGCCCAAGTTATTTCAGACTTCGGTCCGATGCAGTGGGGAAGGCCCAATATGTGCTTTATATGTTATTGTATGGTATGTGGTAGTTTGGGGAGCTCACTAAGCTTCGTGCTTACAGTTTTCAGTTTTGGTTTCAGGTACTTCCACTAGCAAATGGAAGGGCTCGGGATGATCGCATGACACACACCACAGTCTTCAGCTTGAGAGTTTTACTCTGATAGTTTGATATGATATTTGACATGAGATTTGACATGTGATAGATCTTATGAGATTTTGAAACACATAGTTTATGATTTTTATACTTTGATAATGAAATGATGGTTTTAATAATGTTTTAAAAACGAAATTTTTGGGATGTTTCACAACTAGTACTCTTAGTTCGACTTTGAGGTTATATCTTAATCGTTTTATCAATATCCATGCTAATTCACATGAGCAATCTTATTGTTAAAAAATATGGACATTTGATGTATATTAAATAAAAAAATCTCGGCATTTGATGGATATTAAAAAGAACAAAAAACATAAGACAATGAAAATTCTTATACCAATAGTTAGACGTCAAAGATATGATTTTTTATTCAAATTTAACCAAATCAACAATGTTACGATAAAGATATTGGATGTAAATTAAGAAAACTATAATACAACCAAATTAAAAAAATATTTTAAATCAAATTTTAACTAAAAGTCTGTGGTTTTGATAGGTTCTATACGTAAGTTTAACAATCACATATTCACTAACCATATATATATATATATATATATATATATATATATATATATATATATATATATATATAACATATTAAACTTTTATTGAAATTTAAGAGGTACGTGCTTGATAACATAATGTACAAATCTTTTATGCACAAACTATTCATTTTTTATGAATAAAAACTAATTATGATAAAGAATAATCAATGAAAATATTTAAAGAAGGAAACATCAATCAAATTTTGTTTCTTTTTTAACATGGATAAAATATTATATTAAAAATTCAAACCACCAAAATTGTTGAAATACACTAAAAAATAAAAAAGTTGAGATATGTTGTCGTTTCACATTATTGTCACTTTACTCACCACAACTCACAATTCCACGTTCTTTTAATATATTTTAGATTTGTTTTTAATCATTTGGTTTATTTTTCTTTCTTTATTCATCTTTCATATCGATACTTAATAGGAAGGATTTCTTGTGGATTTCAAATGGTGTTTTCGGTTTTAGTGGTGCGATTATCACATAATGGTGGGTCTCTATATCCCTAATTTTTTATTAATTGTTTTTATCATGACTATACATTCTTTTTAATCTTGATTTTCCATATATATCTATGTATATGTTATGGTTTTGACATGAAAAATTATGCATTTGTATTTTTGAATTTTTGTATATCTATGTATATGTTAAATTTATATATGGTGGGTCTATTCTCTTCTCTTGAGTGAATTTTATGGAAAATTTGAAGTGAATTTGAGTGAATTTTATGGATATTATCTATTATCTTTTCCAAAGTATTACTGGAGAGCTATTAAGGATCGTTCATCCATCCAACTTTTTGATGGATTGGTCGGTTCAAGCTTCTCAAGAACAATGATCTATTTTTCTCGCTTTGATCTCTTTTTATTCATAAAATATAATTATTATTGGTTGTTACATTTAAGTCTATGTATTTTTTTTGAAAGCTTATTTTTTTTTTCAGGTTGCTCAATATCAAGAATATGTGTCCCATGAAGCTTATTTAGGTTTATCTATCTTTCTTAATAAGAAAAATTACTCTTCATTATCACTGTAATTCAACATAACTTTTTTTATAACTTGGTTCGTTTCAGGTTCTCACGGTTCCTTTTTAGGTATATGATAATTAAAGAAAATGGCAGGTTTTGATTTCTTTATTTTGGTATTTTTCGTCAAGACTATAAAAGTTGCTTGTGATTTTACCACCGATCGAGAGGTAATAAACTATAGTATGTTTCCAACCCTAAATTTTAATCTACTTTGTTGGTTCTATTTACGGCTCTCACGTTGTATTAATTTCAAATAATTTAACCATTTGTGCATGACAGTCTTCATGCCCAACTTAACTATAAAAATTTCACCAACTAATTTATAAAATTTTATTCGATTGAATGCTAATTTGAAAATCTCATATAAATTGTGCTTGTTGTTTCTGAAAATCTCATATAAATTGTGCTTGTTGTAAGACTAAGTTGTTTAGCTACTAAATCCTATAACATTTTCAAGTATGGTTGATTTATCAACTTATATTGATCATATTTGCCACATAACATTACATAAAATATTTTCTATATCCTAAGTGGAAACCTAAACTAGATAAATATGTTTTTTTAAAGAATTTTGATTTGTGTTGTTTTTGTTGATGAAAGTGTAAATACAATATAACAAACTACATATTTCACAATAAATTCATAAGGTGGGAAATAAAGAACGTAAGGACAAAAAAATTGTGCCTCAATTTAAAGTGGTTCAGACTTGTTGAAAATCAGTTTCCAAACCATCTCGAGTGACTTTTTCCTCTAGATAACAAATTTACTTAGGACCTGTTTGTTAAGTAGTACACTAGGGATGAACGTGGGACGGAACCGGTACCGACCCGTACCGTTTCCGATTTCCCAAAAACCGAATTTGGTCGAAAGTCAATCCCAAGTACCGAACCGAATTAACATCACCGGTACCGGTACCAGGAATGGTACCGGTTTTCGGTACTAGTACCGGTACCGGTGGTACCGATTCCCGAATTTCATGTATTTGGAGTACCAAGTACCGTCCCATATTTTTATATTCGGTACGGTTCGGTACCGATTCCGGTACGGTACCGGTACGAGATCGGGATTTGGGACAAACTGTTCATCCCTATAGTACACAACAAAACAAGATGCATTATGCTTATTGTGTATTCGACTAATGGTAATTGGAAAAAATGTATTTTCTTTTGTCATTCTTTTTTCTTTCTATTTCTCATCGTTCCAAGAGATATGAGTTCCCTCCTCACCTTACTATTGAAAATAGTCCAAGATAATTTGTCATTCTTTTTTCTTTTTTAGAACTCAACGTGGAGAAGCGATTTATATAATCTGGGCTTGGACATGATGTTTGTCCAAAGGTTGACCATGGATTTTTCTAACATATCAACCAAAAAATTTGTAGTCGTTGAAACAGTAATACTTGTCGCCGCTGCTTTGCGCGGGTCCACACCTACTATATATATATATATATATATATATATATATATATATATATATATATATATATATATATATAGTAATATGATATTATTATCCAAAATTATATTAATATCTCGATGGTGTCTTCAACTTTTTGGCAACAACACCATGATTTGGTGTTTTCCTTTTAAAGCTCGGTCAGAACTCATGGTCACGGCTAACAACTTTAAATGAGACTGGTTCAAGAAGAGACAAATTTGATCTGGACCGACTTGGGATTCAACGGTCTAGTACCGATTTGAGACCAGTAATGTCCATAGGAAAAAAAAAAGGGAACTGGGCTCAATGTGCACCTCTTCATTATCATGTTATACTTATGTCAAAGTTAATGAAAATATTTCTTGTTAATACCTGATTACATTTACGATGTTTAAATTTTTGGAAATATATAATATTGAAGTTTCTACTTTCTAACTCAGGGATTGGCAACATTTAAGCTCACTTAGACCCGATCAAGGCAGATTGACATATTTAATTGGATTCATTTTTAAATCTTCACAGAATGGAGGGTTAAATACTTAAATATGTCATGACGATAGTTATATAAGTTACGTTATTGTAAGAGGTTTAGGGAAATCACATAACTGATACGTCAATGAGAAAACGTTTATCATGTTATTTTTAAAGTAATAGAGGATATATTAGATAAAATAGGTAAATTAAATGGTTGGTCCCTGAGGTTTGTTGAATATAACACATTTGATGCAAAGATGGCGATTGTTGCAAAATGTTACATATTTCAATCTAAATTAGCAGCTTTGGTCCTTCTCTCTTCACTCCATTTGGTTGATACTCTCAAGAGCCCTCATGTGCCCTACACATGAGGACTAATTTGGTATTTTCCCTCATTAAGCCCCTCCCTCTCTCCTCCATCCGCTGTAACAACTACGTAAAAAGACCAAAATACCCTAACATGCAAGCACATGAGGGATCTTAAGCGTAGTTTGCTTTGTTTTTTTTTTCAAAACCTTAAATGATTTTTTTCTGGATACCCTTTTACTTTGATCCTGACTCCGCCACTACAAAAGATAGTTGCAAGATACAAGTCTTGAAAATATTTAACATACAAAAAGATAAGAGTGTGGTAATTAACACATATATGATCACTCATTAACAAGATCAACATCCAAACAAAGATACGGGAAGTACCACATGCGTGTTTTAAAAAACCTGCCTTTTTGAGGTTCATCGATAGAGTCACGGAAGCAACCATAACTCTTGAATTCTGACCGAGGGTCAACAGCCCATGACTCTGACTCTGGTTTAATTGCAACACCATGACGATTACATACGCTTAGAAAAAAAGCATATTCTCCTATTGTTTTCTCTTCTCTCGACACCCCTTTCATTTCGCCAAAATCTAGTTCATAAACCATGTACGGATAATGACAGCTGTCAATCACATAAAGGTTTTCACCCGAACTTATAAACTCCTGATGAAAGATCTGTGGAATCCAAAAATTCTTGACTTCTAGTTTAGTCAACTTGGGTTTTGGACTGAGTCTCATTTCATATAAACACCCACCAGGCCTTAGGGCATATATTTTCCCCTTGAAAGCATGTAAATCAATGATACGAAAAGCAGAGGAGACATGACCCCATGCTCCCATAACCGCTATGGAAAACCATATACCATTATTTTGGTATCTATTTATAACAACAAACACCAACCCAGACCCGGGTATTGAAGGTGAAAAGACAAGAATAGCCTTAAATCCATGATTAGTTGCTATATTGGGGAATGCAGGGAAATGTAATCCATGCTTTGTGATAGGATTCAGAAGCCAAAAGTCATTGGGTTTCTCCCCATAAAAGATTAAGTAACCACAAGTTAATCCAACACACTTCCTAACACCAAAATTGGGAAGGAGGGTTTTGAATCTTCTTCCTTCAAAGTCCTCTAGGTAACACTCTTTCGTATAAGGATTATCAGAGATCCACACCAACATAGGCAATTTAGATGCCATAAACATCTTCTTGTTAGAGTGTGCAAATGACCTCCATGACTTACAAAATCCACTGAATGCAATAAAATCAACAACTCTCAGTTGCATCATAACTAAAAGCAACACATCATGGTTAAGTTCTGACCAATATGATGCATCAACATGGCTCCGGTTTCTAGTCATACTTTTGCCTATGGCCATGTTTCTTGAAATAAAAACCTTATATAAAAACCAAAATACCAAACTCAAACAAACCCTAGATAATCCAAAAAGACAAAACTGCAAAATTGGTCCTTGTGGTTTGCAAAAAACTTTGGATGGGGTCCAAAAAGTTTTCAACTTGCATGGAAGGTCCAAAATCAAGAATTTTCTTTGGTTTTGGTCCTTGAAAATTTGAAAGGACTATTTTGCCCTTATTATTTATTTTTCACATTTTCTTTATTTGTTTTAATTGTTTTATAATTAAAAAGAAAACAAAAGAAAAGAAAAATACGAGGAGGTCCACCCTACCCGATCTCTCTCTCTCTCTCTCTCATCAGGTTGTCTTCCTCAACCCTTCTATCCTTTCTACCTCATCAATGGTTGATACCCTTCTCTTTTACACAAGAAAACCCACTCACACCATTGTAATCCTATTAAACATTAAGCGAGCAAGATTCGGAAGTGCATAGTTACCAATTTAAGAGAACGATTATGATGGGGAAGAATTAGGTGGGAGGAGAGTCCAGATCCAGTAAATCAGTAAATCTGCGCCATCGTAGAGGATGACGCCTTCGTGGAAGATGAATGAGATGTCATCGTCGTAGAATTTAAAGACGACGAGGGTTAAAGAGAAATCAAATTAGCGTGTTCATGCACCTGGTAAGATTATAATAGACAGAGAGAGAGATCAGGTGGGGGTGGACACGTCATTCTATTTTTCTTTTCTTTTGTTTTTTTTAATTATAAAACAATTAAAACAAATAAAGAAAATGTGAAAAATAAATAATAAGGGCAAAATAGTCCTTTCAAATTTTCAAGGACCAAAACCAAAGAAAATTCTTGATTTTGGACCTTCCATGCAAGTTGAAAACTTTTTGGATCCCATCCAAAGTTTTTTGCAAACCACAAGGACCAATTTTACAGTTTTGTCATCCAAAAAACTTATGGAAAAATCACTGTATATGTGCATATTATGATAAAGATAATCTTCCATATCATCATATGAGTTATAACCCAATTACAAAAGCAGAAAAATCCATTACTTCAAGAAGAGTTATACGAGTAATGAATCGGAGAAGATATAAACATTAAAACCTAGATAATCAGGTAATCGACTAACCAAAACTGAAATAACGAAACCGAAACTAAAATTGTTTTGACAAAAGAATTACCTGATTAACGGCGGTAGAGGACTTTGATAGAAGGATCGACTTGAGTTTAAAAGTTTAAGAAATTGGTAGAAGTAAGACTCCAAGAATATTGTTGCTTCTATAATTATGACAATCTTGTGAGTAATTTTGGTGAATCATACGACAATATCTTCTGCAGCCTTATAATTTGGTAATATGAATCTAGTATCCATATTCCATAATAGACCCCAATGGGTATGGAATTGGACCCCACCCTATTTAATTTTCACGTTAACTTGGCTTTGGAGCGGACATCAGTGAGTTTTTGGTTTTTGGATTAATAAGAATCATTCTTTTACGTTTCATTTTAATTCAGAATATTTTATACATTAAATTTAAAATGGTGATATCATATTTTATCGTTTTCGGTTTTTTTCTTCAAACTATGTACAACGACGCCATCGAGTAACTTTTATACATACAAATAAGTTTGTCATCAATGAAGATGACACTCATTAAAAGTTTTTTCGATGCTCGCAGATAAAAAAGCTCGAGATGATTCATAAAGTTCTAATAAGCGATCAAGGGAAATAGATATTTCTTGAGGTTGTCAAGAGGGACACAACCATTTTGTTTCAGATTACGGCGTATTCGGCAAAATTAGCTGGTAGTAGGTAGCTTGTAGCTTGTAGCGTTTTGTAAAACGCTACATGAAGTAGCATTTGGATTTGAAGCGTTTTGTTTAAACTAAACGCTAGAAGCTTATAGCGCCAAACAATATTTTCTGATCAAAATGGATCGTTTTGTCAAACGCTAGAAGCTAGAAGCTACCAAACGCTCCCAAACGAACACGCCCTTAGACGTATGTTTTTAATTAAACACAAACTATTAATCAGAATTGTGGGCTCATTACCCAACCATGTTGATTGTTTCAACACAAAGGAAAATGTCACTGGAAATAAATGTCTTTCACCGGAACTAAGAAAAAAAAACATTGTTGATGTTTGACAATTACCATAAGGTAGGGAGCAGTTTGAACAGAATCTCGATCCCGTATCGGTACCGTACTGGAACCGTACCGAATTTAAAAATATGGAACAATACTCGTTACTCCAAAATCACGAAATTTGGGATTCGGTACCGCCAGTAACGTTAATTCGGTACGGTACTCGAGATTAATTGACTTTCGACCAAATTCGGTATTCGGGAAATCGGGAACGGTACCGGTCAGTATCGGTTCCGTCCCACGCTCATCCCTACCATAAGGAGCACCGGCCGATAAAAACGATGAATATGTAAAAATTGGTGAAAATATTGCTATCAAATGCCTAAAAAAATTTATTGGGGGTGTAATTGAAATATTTAGCACCATGTGCACGATAATACGAAAATATTGAAGACATTTAGTACCAAAATGTTGAAGACATTAAGCGTATACTTTATTAGTTTATTTGCACAAAGAACATCGTGGGTTTTCACATATGCTACTTAGTATTTATTGTATGCATTCTGCTCTAAGGAGATCTCACTCTTTTATCAAGGGTTATATTCAATTGTTTAAATGGACACCCTTATTATTTTTAAGTGGACACCCTAAACATTGATGAGTGGAGCTGCTTACAATCCTGCATAAATTAAACACACTCATATTTTCATATATGTAGGGAAAACAGTTAATGGAAACTACCTAACAAGTTCAAACTCCACGACAAACATCCGAGGACGCGAGGGTTAGTGTTTGCCAATAAAACTCAAGCATAATCATAGTAATTTCTATTATACATGTAATTATCTTACTTTATAAGGTCTTGTAACTACAATAATTATAATCTTTAAATTGTCTAATAATAAGATTATATAATGTGGAAGTAGGAAAAAGACATGTAAAGAAGCAAAAACCCTAAAAATAACAAAAAGAGAAGTTTTGATATTTGTGTTAAAGATATTCTGATAGTTTAAATTTGATTATTAATTCATTTAAATTTTTTTATCATAAAACCTAAATATTTTTGTTAGTAGCTTGTTTGAATTTGGTTAATCAAATTTTTTTGACCAGTTTATTCTGTTATCTAAATTAAGTTTGACACATTTGAGTTTTAATATTGATTTCACCACTGATTGTGCTTGGAAAAGTTGTCCCATTGATTGGCAATGGCAATTCACTTAAGATGATCATGGTGCGGTGTGTCGACAATCATGTTGGAAGCTTTTGCTTCTCAAGTAAAGGACTTGAGGTGAGTTTTTTGATTGTCAGATTGAACAATGACATTAATATATTAAATCAATGTACATTGTTCAACGATTTCTTAAATAGATATGCTCTTGAAGTGAATTATCATCAAGGGGACAAATCACATGAAAGGCTTTTCACAATATCAACAAATACTTAATTTTCAATGTACACATCACATTGATGGCAATCATAGAGACCATTTTAGGCAATTTAGTAAATATATTATGTTTATATAGAATGGCTAACACACCCCCTGTTTTTTTTTTTTTTTTTGAACCGTCAAATACAAATATATAAATCTACTCCTAATCTAACACCTAATACCACCTATGTCCACAACGAGACTTGAACCATCGACCTCAAAGAGGGAGGACACCACCTGGTACCGTTGGGCTACTATTGTACTCATAAACTATATCTTTCAGTTTGTCCCAAATGGAGGAGTTGAACCTAAGAATATTGCTAATGAATACCGCTACTTTTGATTTTAAAATATATTATGTAAAAGCAAGAAAGATTCTACATCGACCACAAACGGTATACGCTATAAAAACCAAAAATTGTTGTATTATAAATTTATAATACAAACGTAATTAGTCCAAGAGTAAATTACAAAAATGGTCCCTAAGCCTTACCAAAAATTGCAAGAATGGTCCTCCAAAATAAAAGTCTCCTAAAGATTTCCTAAATTTAGTTTTTGTTTCAAAGTTGTCCGCAGCAGCATTTCAACCACTTGTTAAACACTCCCATGTGCAATGTACATGAGGCTACTTTGTTATCTAAAGATAAAATCCACAATTAGAATTAAAAACGGTTACAGATAATTAATTAGAGAGAGACGAGAGAAGAAAAAAACAAAATACCATCATGAGCATTACACATGCGGGTGTTTAACAGAAAGACTGAGACATTGTTTATGGAGGGACCATTTCTGAAACAGAAATCAAACTTAGGGACTTCTTTGAGAAACTTTCATTCTGAGGAACCAATATTGTAGTATTTGGTAAAACTAAGGGACCATTCTTCTAACTTATTATTGACTAATTATTGTATTAAATCAAAGGCACAAATAAATTAATGCGACATCTACAATGAGTTACATTAAAATATTAAATATTTGCATGTTTAGTTTTGGAGCTATAACTAGTAATGACCTTTATCAGCACTTGATTGACCATAACCATGTTATACTTATGTCTGTAAAATTAGTGGACATATTTCATGCTTACCTTGCTCAATATTTTCAAAATATATTAAGGGTTGGCAATCTTTAAGCCCACTCAGACTCGAGCAAGGCAGCAGAATGACACATCATGTTGCACCAAGTGTACCACATATATTTAACTACATTCGTTATTAAATCTTCACAAAATGGAGGGTGAAATATGTCATGTCGATTAACCTCCTCGGATATATGAATTTTGCAAGTCCTTAATCCTCAGAAAAAACATAAAAAGGGAGATGTAGATGATAATGAAGCAAAAGATAGTTGCAAGATACAAGCCTTGAAAATATTCAACATACGAAAAGATAAGAGTGGTAATTAACAAGTGTATGATCACTCATTAACAAGATCAACATCCAAACAAAGATGGGGGAAGTACCACATGCGTGTTTTAAAAAACCTCCCTTTCTGAGTTTCATCGGTAGAGTCACAGAAGCAATCATAACTCTTGAAATCTGACCGAGGGTCAACAGCCCATGACTCTGGTTTAATTGCAACACTATGATGATTCCATATGCTTAGAAAAAAAGCATATTCTCCTATTGTATTTTCTTCTAGCGACACCAATTTCATCTCACCAAAATTTAGTTCCTGAACTTGGAACAAATCTTCGGAAATGTATTGTATAACATAAAGATTTTCACCCGAACTTACAAACTCCCGATGAAAGATACGTGACTCCCCCAAATTCTTGATTTCTAGTAGAGTCAATTTGGGCTTTGGATTGAACCTCAGTTCATATAAACACCCATTGGAGTTTAGGGTATATATCTTTCCCTTGAAAGCGTGTAGATCAAGAAAGTGGTTAACAGAAGAGACATGATTCCGTGCTCCTTTACCCTCTAGTGAAAACCATATTCTATAGCTGGATCGATTTAACACAACAAGCACCAACCCAGACCCAGGCATTGAAGGTGAAAAGACAAGAATAGCCTTACCTGGTGAACCTGGGAAAGCCGGGAAATGAAGTTCATTCCTTGTGATAGGATTTATAAGCCAAAAGTCACGGGTTTTCTCCCCGTAAAAGACCATGTAACCACAAGTTAATCCAACACACTCCTTACCAATGCCAACACAATGGGGAAGGAGGGTTTTGAAATAGTTTCCCTCAAAGTCCTCTAAGTAGCACTCTTTCGTATAAGGATACATAGGGATCCATACCAACATGGGTCGTCTGGATGCCATAAACCTCTTTTTGTTACAAAGTGCAAATGACCTCCATGACTTGCAACAAAATCAATGACTCCCAGTAGCATCATAACTAAAAACAACACATCACGGTTAAGCTCTGACCAGGGTGCCACACTACTTTTGTCACGAGTCTTGAACGTGTTACTGCTAGATGCATTATCATGGCTCCATTTTGTAGTCACACTCGTTGTCTTAGTCATTCCTACACTTAGCCAATAGCCAATAGCGCACGTGTCAAAAGGATCAAAATACCAAATTTTGCCCAACAATTTAAAAAAATTAAATAAATTAGAAAACCAAAACCATGAATTTGTATATTAACATACTTCAAGAAATCAATCAACATTTGAACTCTGAATTACTCAATTACAGACGCAGAAATATCATTACTTGAAGAAAAGTTATGAACGAGTACTGAATCTTGGCATAAATATAAACAATTAAACCCTCTGTATAATCAAGTACTCAGCCAGGCAAGCGAGAATGAAATAATAAACTGAAAGTAAAATTATTTACCAAAAGAATTACCTGATTGAGAAGAATCGGCTTGAGTTTAGGCTTACTAAGAATTTATCGGAAAAATTACGGGTGATTCCACATTTTGCAATCTCTGCAGGTGATTTTGGTAAAGTCCTGCTAAGGCTACTTAGCTAGTGGCTACTTAGCTTCACTAACACTCTCCCGCCAAAAGCCCCCCAACTTCCACCGAAAAGTAAAATAATTTGGGGCCTATAATTCAAGTGTACCGAAGTAATGAAATTATGATGATGTTTAATTTTTTTTTTTTGAACGTTAACGTACCTTTAAATATTATTTCTAAATTATTATTTTTTATCACAGAACTTAAGCCTTCAACTAGAAAATAGATATTTTTTCAACACCTTAATACGGGTAGACAAAAAACCATTTAGTTTATACTATGTGTGCACCGTTTATACTATGTGTGCACCCGTGCAAAACGGCGGCGACAAGTATTACTGCTTCAACGACTACAAATTTTTTGGTTGATATGTTAGAAAAATCCATGGCCAACCTTTGGACAAACATCATGCCCAAGCGTAGATTATATAAATCGCTTTTCCACGTTAAGTCCTAAGAAGATGATTGAAAATTAATTATAAAATAAAAATCCAAAATTGAAGCTTTTTCAGAGAATGTTTTGAAAGTTTCATATGTGACAAATTATCTTGGACTTTCTTCAATAGTAAGGTGAGGAGGGAAAAAGAAAATGCATTTTTTTTCAATTACTATTAGCCGAATACACAATAAGCATAATGCATCTTGTTTTGTTGTATAATACTTAACAAACAGGTCATAAGTAAATTTGTTATCTAGAGGAAAAAATCACATGAGATGGTTTGAAAACTGATTTTCAACAAGTGTGAACCACTTTAAATTGAGGCACAATTTTTTTTTGTCCTTACGTTCTTTATTTTCCACCCTATGAATTTTATTGTGAAATATGTAGTTCCTTATATTGTATTTAGACTTTCATCAACAAAAACAACACAAATCAAAATTCTTAAAAAAAAACATATTTATCTAGTTTAGGTTTCCACCTAGGATATAGAAAATACTTTATGCGGCAAAAATGATCAATGTAAGTTGATAAATCAACCATACTTGGAAATGTTATAGGGTTTAGTAGCCGAACAACTTAGTTTTACAACGGGCACAATTTATATGAGATTTTCAAATTAGCATTCGATCGAATAAAATTTTTTAAATTAGGTGGTGAAATTTTTACAGTTAAGTTGAACATGAAGACTGTCATGCACAAATGGTTAATTATTTGAAATTAATACAACGTGTAAGCCGTAAATTGAACCAACAAAGTATATTAAAAATTAAGGTTGAAAACATACTATAGTTTATTACCTCTCGATCGATGGTAAAATCACAAGTAGTTCTTATAGTCTTGACCAAAAATACCAAAATAAAGAAATCAAAACCTGTCATTTTCTTTAATTATCATATACCACCAAGTTATAAAAAAGTTATGTTGAATTACAGTGATAACGAAAAGTAATTTTTCTTATTAAGAAAAATAGATAAGCCTAAATAAGCTTCATGGGACACATATTCTTGATATTGAGCATCCTGAAAAAAAATAAGCTTTCAAAAAACATACATAGACTTAAATGTAACGACCAATAATAATTGTATTTTATGAATAAAAAGATATCAAAACGAGAAAAATAGATCATTGTTCTTGAGGAACTTGAACCGACCAATTCATCAAAAAGTTTGATGGATGAACGACCCTTAATAGCTCTCCAGTAATACTTTGGAAAATATAATAGATAATATCCATTGTTTTAGTTCTTATGCATTTTATTAAAAATTCACTTCAAGTTTTCCATAAAATTCACTGAAGAGAAGAGAATAGGCCCACCATATACAAATTTAACATATACATAGATATACAAAAATTCAAGAATACAAATGCATAATTTTTTTATGTCAAAACCTTAACATATACATAGATATATGGAAACTCAAGATTAAAAAGAATGCATAGTCATGATAAAAATAAATGAATAAAAAATCAGGGATATAGAGGCCCACAATTATGTGATAATCACACCACTAAAACCAAAAACACCATTGGAAATCCACAAGAAATCCACAAGAAATCCTTCCTATTAAGTATATCGATATGAAAGATGAATAAAGAAAGAAAAATAAACTAAATGATTAACCGAAGCTAAAATATATTAAAAGAACGTGGAATTGTGATTTGTGGTGAGTAAAGTGACAATAATGTGAAGCGACACATATCTCAACTTTTTTATTTTTTAGTGTACTTCTACAATTTTGGTGGTTGGCTTTTAATATAATATTTTATCCACGTTAAAAAAGAAACAAAATTTAATTGATGTTTCCTTCCTTAAATATTTTCGTTGATTATTCTTTTCCATAATTAGTTTTTGTTAATAACAAAAATGAGTGGTTTGTGCATAAAAGATTTGTACATTATGTTATCAAGCATGTACCTCTTAAATTTCAAGAAAAATTCAATATGCTTTATAATATAATATAGTTAAGATTTGAAATTTATGATGTTCTATATATGAAGATATATATATAAGCCAAACGGCTTAGTGAAATGATGTGTTTGGATATAGATGTAATACAATAATATAGTATCATCGATATTAGAAAAAAACCATTTATTTTCAAGCAATTCCAAATTTTAAGCAATTTAAAGCAAACAAAAAAATCATACAAACACCGTACTTATAGTGGAACACCAAAAATCGAAAAATAAAAAACACATTTTGAATAACACCATATTAATCTCAATAATATTTAAGGGTTACAAGGGTTGAGTACTTTTATGTGAATAGAGAACAAAAGAAGATAACTAAGGGGCTGTTTGATTTGAACTTACCGGGTCCGGTCAGTGCTTACTACTGACTTGGTCAACAGTCCGACTGTTTGATAGATGCATATTGTTGATAGATGCATATTGTAGCTGACTCGGTCAACGATGCTGACCCAATTGGCTTACACGGTAAGCCTAAAATTCTTGGCTGACTGGAAAAGAAAAAGTCCACAACCCTTTTTTTCCTTATCTGCCCTCGCCTTCCCCTGGAGACCTAAAAAGAAACACGCTCGAACAAATAGTTCCATCGACCAGTCGGCTCTTCGTCAACATCTCCCACCGACGAGTTCCGCTCCTAGCATCTCCGACCAGCGACGACCTCCACAACGCCGACGACGACCTCCACAGCACCGACGACGACCTACACTGCAGGTAACGTATTCTGCCTTTTTTTGCTTTTTTTTTAAATCACAAAAAGGTTAATGTCTAGTGAAATTACCGATTTCATTCTTCTTAGATTGAAATGGTTTAAAGGGTGTGCATCAAATCAGTTGATAATGTATATTTGTGTATAAAATCTGATTTTATCTATATGAACTAATGTGTGATTTTGATATGAACTAATGTGTGCATAAAAATCAGATTTTAGGTATATGAAATCAGAAAATGTTGTACATGTTGGTATGAAATCGGAAAATGTTGAATATGTTGTACATGTTTGTATGAAATCAGAAATCAGAAAATGTTATATGCTTATGAAATCAAAATTTATTTATATGAAATCAAAATTTATGTTGTATATGTTGCTAAAAATGTGATGAAGTCAAATTTATGCTTGATTTATGTTGTAAATGTGTGTTATGTGGATGATTTATCTTTCTTTTTATAATAGACATGGCAAATAAAAGGACTAGAATTAGTTGGAAGTTGGAGATTGTGGACAAAACTTTTTTGGAAGCATGTATACACAAATTAACAAGTAATGGTTGGGAGGGTAGTGGCCTAAAAGCAAGCTCATGGACTGTAGTCGCGGAGAAATTGAAAAAACGATCATAATTTTGTTGTTGACTGAAAACAAATGAAAAACTTATAAGACTATTTAAAAGCAAAGTATGCAGTGTGGTTAAAACTTAAAAATAAAATCGGAAATCTTTATAATCCTATAACAAATTCTTTCAACATGACTAATGAAGAATGGGAAGCAGAAGCGAAGGTGTATATAAGATATATATATATAATATATATATATATATATATATAAAGATATATATATATATATCTATATATATAGAGCGAGAGAGAGAGAGAGAGAGAGAGTTAGGTTCATATGTACTAACTATTATATTGTGTGGATGTAGACATGATTGTGGACCAATCAATTTAAAAACCTAGATAAGACTATATTCGTAATTTTCTTTTATACACCTAATTTAAGTTCCAATATATATGGAAAATCTATTATATCTCGGATTAAAATAATGGGTCAAATTCCTTTAAATGTTGTTACATCTCAATAACCCTACGTATCTTCATCGTCTAGCTACCACAATCGCCGGATGAAGTTCTTACCCGCACTTTCTCTAAACCATCACACTCTTCCATCTTCTACTCTCCGCCATCATTCATAATCATCACTTCTTCCTGATAATCTCATATGCATTCGTCC